AGTGCTCAAAATGTATTTAAGCTCCTCTTTAAGCAAAACTGTAAGTCTCTAATGATATCTACCTTGAGGGAAAAAAGGTAAAGATTCTGTCTGAAACATTAAGATAACTGCTTTGCCGTATATAATTTTCTCTCTGTCCACTTTTTAAAAAAATGTGATTGAAAATTACATATTTATCTGTACTTTTATTAGCTTTCAAAGATTTACATAATAATTTAAGATGCACTACTGCAAGAGACACAAATGAAGAGCACAGCTTATCCTTTCAGTGCCGTATTTTCCAGAACCCTCCTGTGATGTCGACTGTACCCAATTTTACAAGCCCGCTGCCTCATATACCAACACCCTAAATTCTCATGTGCAGCACACAGCAAAGCCTATAAATCAAGCTCCCCACCTTGAACCTTCCACCTCCACTCTGCAAGTGTAAAAGGCAAACAACGCCGACCGAAGTAGCACTGTATGCATCGCCCACCGGCACAAGCAGATTCTGAACTGCACTGTCCCTTCCACTCCACTCATTTTAAAAATCAGAGGCAGTTTTTATGTAACCGGAACAACATTTTCGTTCTCCAGATGGCCATGCAAGGTCACTCTCTCTATGGCAATATGCTGGGGTCCCTCTGTTAAAAATCCCAAGAGAATGAAAAACCTTAAGCTTGCTTTTCTTTCCCCCCCCCCCAATGTTTCCCCATTTTTTTTTTTTTTTTTTTTTTTAACTAGAGGGGAATTCAGCAGTATCCTGTATTCTGTGTAAACTGTTTTCAGAATGAATAAATGTGCAAATTGCAAACAAACATTCTGTGCTTGAAAAAGGCAGGCAGAAAGCAGCCCAGCTCCCAAGCCTTGAACGGCAGATGATGGCACACCAGTGCTGCACCGCTGAACCAGCACCTCCGGTGCTGTGCCTTGAGGCTGACTGTTGCCAACAGCTAGGGCTCAGTGACAGGTACTGTTTTGAACAACAGAAGAAATAATAACAGTAATAATAATATCATCAATACATATTGTTCCATTCTCAACTCTGATAAAGCTATAAAGCTTCTCCTCCCCCTTACTCATTTGATTATCAAACCCAACTATTACAGGCAACAGTTTACTAATACCAAGTCATTTGGGGGGGAAAAAAAAAAAAAAGCCACAAACAAAAACACCCAGGACTTTTTTTCCAACTGCTCTACAATTCTTCATGTTTTACTGAAAAATCACACCCTTGCACTGATCTTCAGTAAAGCAGGAGAGAGCAATTCCACCGTGTACATATATTAAGCTCTGGACAGGCTGAACTATTGACCTCCTTTTGCCACTAAAATATCAGTTAATCATAAAACTGAGCTGTGAGCTGTTACTCAGAAGCAGCAGCCAACGTGAGAATAACTTCTAACTTACAGCTGATAAAGCAGGCTAAGTGGACAATTTTAGATTACCACATATTTCCTACACCACTCCCACCCCAAAGGAGAGGCAATCACAACACGGAGGATACACTCAGAAGGACAACACGCCCCAAAGCCTTAATAAGGATTACTTCTAATTAAAGTGCTAGCCTCTGCCTTTGGTTTTGGTTTTAAAATGCTCCAGAAGTGAGTAATTTGAGCAACAACACCAGGCAGGAGGTGTAGTCATAGTGAAATAAAGCCCAGGTGCCCCACGAGGATCGATAGGGAGGAAGGAGCCTCCAGCATCGGCAGCTTGGAATGATTTGTGCCTAAACCACACGCAGCCGGGAACACAACACCGTGCTCAGCACTGACTTCAGCCGCACTTAGAAATGGAAATATAAAGCATACACCTGGCTATTAAGGAGGACAGTGACGGAAAATCACATTTTCCTTCACATGTTTTAGTCTTACTTCAGCCATTTAAAAACACTCACTGGTTTCACGTATTTGACTGCTCAGCACTATCTTTAATTGCAGACTGGTAAAACAACACGCGAGTTTTCTAGCAAAATGCCGTCACTCGGCTTCAGCGCAGAACAGATTACCTGGGAAATGCCAAGCAGACAAAGAGGCTGGTGGGGGACTTTTAACTAGCGGAAGAATTATCTCTTAATTAGAAAACAATTTTGTTTAGCATTAGCAGAAACATTTACTAAATGAGTCACCAGACACCGGTTTTGCTAAGAGGAAGGCGGAAAATGATCTAAATACCTAATAATAAAAGCGCATGTCTGATACCGAGATAAGTACAACCATCACTCAAATCGTTCAGAAGTAGGATACAACTCCAGCAAAGCACAGGCCAACTGATCAATAATGTGTTATTAAGAAATGTCATGAAATTATAAATACTGACTGAATTATGGAAAAAATCATTTTCAATCTTCATTTCAAAACAATGCTAATATTTGCTCAGATATTAAATAAACAGAAAGCAGGATACTAACCTATTCTTATTGATGTGTCAGTGAGCTTGCTATCGCTGCTGCTTGGAACGTAAACATTAAAAAACTCATCAGATCAACGTTCACTAATGTGTGCTTTTTAATCCGTATAGAGAGCCGTCAAACTTCATGCTGAAAATTCATTTATTTCCCACCACTCCATTTGACGCTGAGCGTATAATAAATTATAACTTATTTCAGAATTTGAACTAATATTCACAAAACTTATGGAAAGACAAAATTGACAAAGAACATCGACAGAAAAGAGAGTATCTGTCTGAAAAATAAGTGATCTTGTCAGAAACAAGAATTAGGAATAATTGAAGAATCTCCAGAAAGAAGATATTGCTGCGGAGATGTCATCTAATATAGCACGGTAAATCACCTGCCAGTCACTCGTACAAATCAGCAGCAGCAGAGACTGCAGGGTGAGCTATTCTGTTATTAGCTTCACCTTTCTTGTAAATCTTCTCTTTGGAAGAGACTAATTTCTGTGTTTATAGTTTGCCTTTTAGAAGCAAAATATTTAAAAAAAAAAAAAAATCATATTGACTTGGGTTTGCAGTTATCTTACAGACAGCTTGGGAGAACACTGCGGAAAAGGACGGGTCTGTCTTCATTTTCCAGAGAGGTGAGGAGGCAGCAGGGCGACCTGCCGCGCAACCCTGTGCCGTCCCTGACTCACCCCTGACGCTGGGCACAGTCCTTCAGTCCCCCCAAACCCTTGCTGACTCACTTTTTTCTAACTGAAACTGATGAATAACAACATTTATTAACCTCTGCTTTCACCGGATAAGAAGAAACAGTCTCATTGCAAGGTAAAGAACTTGAAATTTTATTATTATTAAAATAATATTGTCATGGAAGTTCAGATTTTCTTTTCCCCCCAAGTATTTTTTTGATCTGCTTCATTTCATAGTGGATTAAATTGAGTTGAAAATTTTTCTCAAGCCAGACTAGATTTTGGTGCCTTATATGTGAGTATTAGGTTAAAAACAAAGTAAAAATAAAATCACACTCACACTAACGTTGTTTCCCCTAACTGGCTTCTAAAAATATGTCACGTAAATCATGACTTCCTTTCTTTTCCTTTCCCATTAAAAAGCTTTAGTCTGTCACACACCGTGTAAATGAAATTACATTTTTTCAAATGCTAGGAAAAAGAACCCTAACATTTGGGATTTGTTAGTCTCAGCTCAGTCTCTTTATAGAAGCTGTTTTCAAATTCCTACTTTTTCAGAACAACGCCTAAACCAATTCAGTACAATAAATCAATGCTTTAACCTTACTTAGATCTCAACAACTGTCATCTTAACCGAGATGGACACACATATATTTTTACTTCACAGGAAAAACAGAGTAAATTATAAATAAGATTACAGATTCCAAGAAATGCCTTCAGTTTAGTCTTTCTTGCTCCAGCTGCGTGCCTCAGCTTCTGACAGTGCTATGCCTGATTTCAAAAAAGACTGATTTTCTGGGACTCATACCTATTGACCTAGTCCGTTTGAAGTTCTGGCTTGTGATCCGGACACTGACCCTCTTCCTTAAGTAAACAAAATGAGTGGTCATCCATGCTTAGACGAGAACTTGAATAGCCATCCCACTCAGGTCTGTCACCAACTTGTGAAAAAAATATTTCATTTATATTTCACTTTATACATGCATACATATACATGACACACGGAATCCTGCAACTGCAGCTTTTCTTTCCTACTATTTTAGCACAGCTTTGAAGAGATGGTTATCAGCACTCTTTGCTAAATCTAATATAGCGCAAACTTTAAAATACTTTGTCAGGCCCTAAAAATCCTGAGAGTAGGGAAAAAAAACCACAATTTAATTTCCGCTTATTTGCCTTCCAGTCTGATGTTCAAATCTATAATTTTTCTCCTCTGCAACTATGAGACGTAGGCACTATCTTTCTTCTTATGGAAGCTGAGATTAAAATAACTTCAAGTAGCTTTAGAAGGAATAGCATGTAGCACAAGCTGGCAGTGCTTAATCTTTTGGCGCTGGCCACGCAGGGGCACTCTAAAAAACCAGAAGTGGAGTGGAAGATTCACAGTGCATGATTTTGGTGGTGGTAGGTCAAAAATGGAGAAAAGAAAACACACTATTAATATTTGCTATTGTATTTTAGGAGTTGTCAGAGAATCTGCCAGGCCATGCATATCTGCTTGGAAAAAGAAAAATTACCCAAAAATAAGCTACATTTTTTTTTGTAAAATTCTATTTCTTAAACAGATTCTTTTTCCAGGCAAGTGCCTTTATGTGCCAGGTTACTTGAAGAGCAAGTGAAAATACGAAGGTGAAAAAACAGGTGGTTTGTCCTTTTTAGAAATGATAACACCTCCTCCCTTGCCTGAGGAGAAGTAAAATGTTTTCTTAGCTTTCTAACATCCCGTCTCCTAACCTACACTCTCATGGTTAAGCAAACAGCAACCTAGGCAGTGACCAGGCAAAGCAGGGGACACAGCAAATCCATACTGGCCTGGGCACTTGGGGATCCTGTGGGTTCTGCTCCAAGTCAACTAGAGCCAACAAGCCTGCCAACCAATTAAATCATTAAATATTTTTGTTTGGTTGTTTGTTTTTCCAAAGCAGCACTCACCTGCACATTTGGTCCTGGTGATGAGCGGTGGTCCTGGCTGTCCAGTCCCACCTTCTCCTGGTCTGGTGAGCAGGACCCGAATTTCATATTCGGTGTCAGGGTCCAAGTGCCAGAGCTTGTAAGTTGGCGCGTTGACAGCATGGGTTTCGGTCCAGGTCCCAGACGTCATTCGGTACTCCACTTCTTTCAGGATAATGGGTCCATCCCCAATAATTGAGTTGGCATTCAGTTGAATGAGCAAGTATGTGGGCCCAACGCCCAGCAGCTGCGGGGGTGCTATTGGCCGAGGCGGCTCTGTAGGGGAGACCAAAAAAAAAAAGCCAGAGATAAAACAAAAGCTAGAAAACCCATTAAGAAGAGGGCTCTTTCCACAGAAAGCGTGTCAGGTTTTGGTCAGCAAAGATTTCAAAACTCGAAAGCAAAATCAAACTGACATCAATGAAGAAGAGCTGAAGAGAATTTCAGCTGACGGAAGCAAGTGGCACACCACTGGCATCTGCCCAATGCTATTTTTTCCATTTAAAAATCTCAGCTAGGGACCACAAAATCCTATCCGATCTATACACCACTAATACTTAACATTTTTTCTGAAAAAATTCTGTGCTCATGCTCATTTATATAATTCACTATGGCAATAACTTGAGACTTTCAGAAACTTAACTCATTTTCTTTTATTGACAGAAGTCACATACATACTTTCCTTAAAGAAATTGTTGCAATAGTTGATTCACTAGCCCGGCACAGAATATTCTTTAAAATGAGTATCGCTGCAGTTCATTTGAAGCCCACCAGATGCAGTTAGGGTAAAAGATACAGATACCTCTTACAGGCATCCAGAACACTCTGAACTGAGCAAAACTCCCGGAAGAATGCCAAAATAAAGATGTATAGCAATGACGTAGAACATTATTTTATTCTTCAATGACTTATTACTGATTTAGAAACTCAAGCAGTAAGATGTACAGTGCCTTTTGTCTTCCTCTGTTGTCATCAGCTTCTGCCTAAATATTTCAACACAGCTGCAAAGTGAAAAGGTAAAGACAGACCAAACAGGGAGGTGAGGTCCCCCTTACCCTGAGAAATGTTTGCATGGAGAAGTAGCACATTGCCTTGGCGTGATTTATTTTAAAGAAACAAATCACAAGCAACATGTACTTTTCTAATAAAATGAATCTGCCGATAAACACGGAAGGTTCATTTTCATTCCAGATGGCTCATATTTCAACTAATTTGTTTCAGTTAATTAGGCAACACTGCTAAATCCAATGCACACGGGGGTTTCGCACAGCAGCGATGCAGAACTAACAACGCGGCAACTCTGAGCAGGTAGAGGGATCCCTTGGCCAGTACGTTAAAAATCACATTTAACCCCAGACCCTAAGATTTCCCTAGAGGGGGGGCCCCTCTCATCATCGCTCCCCCCCTCCATCTCCCTGCAGAAAAGAAGCTCAGACGCAGAAGCAATGGACGTATTCTGCCTCCTGGGAATGACCAGTGCCGCTGTCGGAGCCCGCGGGGGGGGACTGGCAGTAGAGGGGCTCGCAGAGGGCCTCCAGACCTCCTTTTGACATCCTACCCTCCCTGCACAGCGGAGTTTGGCTAACGACTCCCTGGTTCTCTACATCCAGCAGTAAAGTTTCCCCTCCAGATGCCAGAGCTGGCTCCCAACAGCGTATTCAGCAGCTCTGTAAGCAACCAAGTTTCCCACGTTTTGGTACAAAAGGATTTCTTGCAGACTTTTTTCTAAATCAGCTGTGTCTCAAGCCACTCTGTCTATAGACCGAGGAATCTGAGAACGTGTGGTAGTGGCTGCAAGCAGAGCTCACTTTCCTCTCCTGGAGTGAAAAGGTGAACGCTCCAAGGTGTTCCCGTTTCTGCTTCGGGATATACAAAACTCTAGGAAGTATCTCAATTAATTATTAACATGTTTTACCCTGTTTTGGCAAGAAATGTGCATATGAACTAATTTGGATCCCTACCTGCATCAAAGCTCAGAAATGCAGCCAGGCTTAATGAAGGCAGTTTATTTGCTGTGGAACTAACACATTAAATGTCAAACTAATGAATTCTAAGGTCAGTGTATATTACGGCAGAAAACATAAACGTTGATGAGCATGATACACTACCAAGTCTGAGTTATAAACCTCTAAAACATAAGGCTGTGTTTAGAAGTATACACTTTGATTAAGAGCACGGTTATCACAAATAAAACCTCACATTAATGAGACTAATATACCATTGCGTATTAAATTTTTATGTTAAGAGGTAGAGCGTATTCTTATATTAGCATATGCATTTTGTTTTTAAGCTCCTGAGGACTATTTTTTATTTATAAAGTCTCTCCCAGTTCCAATAAATTATGCATGAATTTTAATCAGTTAGCAAATGAACAAGTAATTGTTCTGCAGCATTATTAATATTCTTCATAATACAATATACTATCAGAATCAGAGGTGAGGTGCAGCCAGAAATCCCCACAGTACACTAAGTATCAACCGAAGCATGCAATCCCAATATACCAGGGTAAACTTTTCTGATGTTACCCAATTAACTTTCTATTAATTATTCTAATTCGTTATTCTATAACCACTTTCATCAAATATTCCCCAATTATAATTTCAAATCACATAATTTCCTTTTATATATAGAGCAACCCGAAACTTACGGTTTAAAAATTGCCATTGATAACTATAAGACAGAACAAAGCCATTATTAATGTTTTGGTTGCCATTCCCAGAGCAAATGTCACACATATCGACAGTACTCCTCCTCCGGTGGGTTTTTAAACACAACTCGCATCCTTCAAGGAAGTGATGCTGCTGGGTTTTTACTCAGGCAAGCTGGGTCCGCCTAGTAGTAAAGAACACTGTTTTGTAGTGTCCTGAGGAGTAAATCTTTCAAAAATGAAAAACCTCTTATACAGGGAGGGGGGGAAGGAACGGAAGGGGCGGGGAGAAAGAAGGAAAAAAGGAAAGGGTGGGGGGGAAGAGAAAGATGTATGAGAGAGCGCCCCAAAGAAAAATCACCCTCTAGAAGTTCGGTCTGGGGTCTGGTTTATAAACAATATAAAAACTCAGCTTCAGTCAAGGCAAGGGACAGCTTTACAGTTCAGCGCTCGGATAAGAGGCGGTGTTGCAGGAGGCCGAGGCTCCCCAGTGACCCACGAGGGCAGCCCCCGTCCTGCCTGGCCCTGCCGGGGCAACGCTGTCTGCAGGTGGCCACGACGGCAAATGCATTTTGTGGCTTCCAGTCACCCACACCCATAGCCACGTCAGGCAGCAGGGGGACCTTCCATCCCCCCGCTGCCCTGGTCACTGCAACCACACCGGGGAACTGTACCCGTTATTCCTGCCAAAAAAACCCCCCACCCCCCTCAATTATTGTGAGCGGATGTGGCTAAGGCACATGGTATTCCTAGCAAGCAATTTTCATGGAGCACAGTTCCCCTTTTCTTGGCCATGAAGCCTCTGTCAATAGCCATAAAGGTTCTCAACAACATTTTATGAAAAAAATATTTCAACCCACAGATGATTTATTAACCCCTCAGTCAAATCACGGTTCCATAGGTATTGAAGATGCACGTGCTACATGGGTTGAACAAAGACCCCGTGCAGTGAGTTTCCTTTCTTCCTTTGCTAAGCACAAACGTTAGCATTCCTTTTCCAGCGTGACTAGTTTAATTACTGACTCATTTTCTGACTATATTTTTTAGGCACTGCTTAAAGGTGTTCGATCTGATGAAATCCCTTCCAGTACGCATGGCCATGAACATTTCTGAAAGACTATATAAAAAAGAGCACTTGCACATCTGCAAGACATTAAAGAAATGAAAGTATTTTCATGCATAGCGTTTTGCAGTATTTGGCCAGTTCTGGTTTTGACATAAAATGCCCACAGCTAAATTAATCAAAAATTAAGACTGACATTTCATCAGTACAAAGTTCCCATTCTGCTGAGCTACTAGCAGTACGTTATGCTCACATCAGTATGTATATGACACTATATATTAAATGTACTGTGATATTTAGGCACCAATGACTAGAATAAGCATGCAGCATCAACCTCAGCTGTAAGTCTTCCTACAGTTAAGTAGTTGTGTCATATTCTTAATATTAAACAATGTATGCAAATAATTACATATTCACAGACAGAAAAACCAGCCAGAAAAGGTCACTAGGGTTATTACTACAGTAACTGGTATGCACAAAACTTCTATATTCCCAAGTACCATATGCATACTATGTTGCTTAATACTATTCACCCAGCCTGGGTGACAATAACCCTACTATGTTGCCCTCGAAGACTAAGCACCTCCTAAACTGAAAATAAAGTGAATTTCATTAGTGTTTTAGTGGTAATCATATACTGTTAATGAGCAGTTCAAAGCAGGGGGGGGGTGTGTCGAACCAAACCAGAATCCTACAAGTTGTTCCACTTTGGAGAAAAAGCTGATACCGGATGCATGTTTGATAAAATCTTTTTTATTTACATGAAGTCATGTTTTGCTGAGCGTAACATGTACCAGGCACAGGAGACTGTTGCCTTGCTCACAGCAGAAGGGTTTGGGGAGGTGGGGAGGAGGTGAGGAGGTCACCACGCAGTCTGACAGTGGAAGATAGGTGCCAGCCTTCAATCTTGTCACTCTCCGTCCCATCCCTGCCTTGCACGGAGCCTCCACACATTAATACCCTGCAAGCTCCCTCTGCTCAGGCACGCAGCGTGCCTTCCCTCTGGTGACGGCATGTTCAGCCTCCTCTATCAAACACCTTACACGAAGCTATACAGTCAGTATGCTGATGGCTATCAACAGTTTAACCATAAAAAGCTTAAGTACTTTTACAAGTATAATAAAGCATTCATTTATTAAAAGAAGCCCGACATCAGCGTCACCACTCGAGAAATTTAGATCGGTGTAACTTAACCATGCCATAAACTGTCAAGAAAGCAGGTAAATCAAAGGAATACTGATTTCCTTCACAAATTTTCATAATTCAGAGAAACAAACAAACAAATAAATCCACATAAATATAGCTAATATTGGATGTTCCAGGGAGTACAGTGGAGATGCCTCCACAAATGACTCAGACTGACTCAGCTCCCAGCTGGATCAAACTCATTTCCTCTTATCGTAGAATCGTTTAGGTTGGAAAAGACCTTTAAGATCATCAAGTCCAACCATTAACCTAACGCTGTCATTCCACCACTAAACCATGTCCCCAAGCACCATGTCTACACTTTTGCAAAGCTGTTTAGGAAATGGCTGCATGTTTCTTGCGAGTACTCTGGGTTTCTAG